TGTATATATGTATATGTATATACTGATATAGTATTGCTGAGGGTATTGTCATAGTCCGGTTGTATTTTGATTTTCAAAATAGCCCACCGAGTTTTGCACATAACTAACTCACGAAAGTTCCCTGCTCAAACTAATTTAGTACATTGTATCTCACACCAGGTCGTCATATTCGTATTCCGTACGATATGGGCTTTGTGCACTGCCGTTGCAGCTTTGCACCTTTGGCATATTCGGTGCCAATCTGAGCGGTTGATTTATGCCTACCTCGGCGGATCTTTGTGCATCTCTGTGGCTATGGCAATCGTGGCTGTCGCTGTTGTGCGTGTATCTGCTAAAGGCTGCATTATGGAGCGACAGAAGCGCGCTCCATTAAACGGCTTGCTGCATGTTCTCGTGGCATTGAATATTTTAGAGGTCGCCTGGACTACTTTCGGAATTTACGCACTGATAGGCAGGTTTTTCAACCTGTGCAACCTCTCTGAGGGGCAGTTGGCACCCGGGCTTATTATTTCTGGAAACATTGTTATTGCAATCATTTATGGCCTGTTAGTTCTGTTCACTGTCATGTGCTGGCATGATCGCACCTCGCATATAGTGGAGCTACAGGAGGGTGAGGAGTACCATGCTACTCGCCACAGAACAATCTCTAGGATTATAACGCAGTTGTGTTGTTGCACTTCTGTGGGGAAGAGTAGCGGCAGCAGTGTGGACCCGTACGAGGAAGTCAGTGCCCTACTAATCAGCCTGCTGTCAGAAGAGATAGCCGACATAGCGCCAAGTGATATTGTGGCTGCCTTGATCTTGCTGAGACGGGATCATGCATTGCAATACGATGAAGTGGACATGCCAGGAGAAGATGTGGTAGACATAAACGATCACGCTTCGGTCCACGATATCTTGGAAGCCGGGTACTACGTCAAGTATGCCGTTGCGTCGTACGGATGGCCTGTGTATTTGTATACGCATCTGTCCTCGGGGCTATGTAGCCTGCTGAATTACACGTCGAAGGCTTTCTGTGGCTGTTGCAAAAGAGAAAGTAAGTGTCGTTGAGTGTGTGCCTCGCTCGAGTCGGTTGTGTTTTTATGTTTTTGATTTGTCTCAATCGGTCGCCATTCATCCCACTTATTAATTTACTTCTAAATGGTATATGCGGAGATGGATAATTTTTGCGGGATACGTGTACTATT